TAGTATTATTAAAACATCATATTATTCATTGTGATTTAAATGGTTGTCAAAATTATTATTACAAACCATATGATGAAATAAATTCATCAAAAGAACACTATGAACAATGGTCATCAAGTGAAGATGGTGAAGAGGGATATTCAAGTATGAGTGGTGATAGTAGACGATCATCTATGAATGATCTTGCTTCTGTATCATCTTCGTCACAATTAACATTTATTGATTTTGGTTGGGCAATATGTACAGCTGATCCTGATAATGATCGACATGAAGTCTTACTACAAACACTTCAAAACTTATTCGAACGAATTCCACGCGTTATACAAATATTTGCTGGTCGTAATTATTGGGATTTTCGTTATGCTATACAAAGTCGAAAGCAAGGTCTAAAAGAATTACTCAATCATTCATGGTTAACAAAAGGTGATATAAGAAATGAAAATGATTTGTAAACATCATGGTAATTATGTACATATTATTAATATTTCTTTATTTTGTTATACTCGCGCATGAAACTGTGATAGAATGGGTCATATTTATATTCGACCTGGTGATCTAATGTATTTTCTTTTCCTTGTGTTGCTTTTGCATTACTACGCATGCTTCTATATAAAAAAAACAAACGGACGCACACACAGTGGCCTTTTTTCTTCTTTTTCTATGTTTCTGGTGTCTAGTCGTGAACTTGTCAGTTATATGTAATATAAAATTTAAAACAAAAAAAATACCGACTATAACAAAAAACAAATGTTGCATATATTTTAAGTTATTCTATTGAAATCGGTCTGTTTGATTCTCATCAATAATTCATTTGTTTTGTTTTTGTTTCATTGCTATTCAATATTCGATATAAATACAGCTGATATAGATGCATATTATATTTTTCTCGGAATAATTTTCCAGGCACACAATCGATTCGTGTCAGAGAACGTCGTAAGACGCACGACCTGAAGAATAATATTTGAGCCTTGTGAGACATGCAACTCACCTAATTAATCGTAATTCAATGAAATTCTGGCCTAGTAGTGAAACTTGTAGTCATTTTTCATTATTATCAATAGTAATCAAAAGAATTCATGCTATAGCAGTGATTAGTGCTTCGTTGGAAAGATTATTTAGCTCAGCTGGATTGACATTTACTCAAAGACGAATAACACGTTTATCACCAAGTTAAATCGATAACATTATTTATTTATGCTTATGAGAAACTCAAGAAAAAGAAATAAAAAGAAACTTATCCTGTTGCGTTGTCTGTCCGTTTATGTTGATTATATTTTGAATTTTTTATCTTTATGCTTGTTTTGTTCATCTAATGGATGATAAATATCTTTTACATGTTTCATTTTATTTCTGGTGGAAAACATGTAATAAGTTTTATTAGCATAATATTTATATCAATAGAGAGTCTATGATATTTAACATCATACCTTATTTACAGACAAGTTTAATATCTTTATCATAAAAAGCAATGCAAAGGTCGTCCTGCTAGCTAGACACAAGAAGATCCTTTCTCCTACCAAGATGAACTTTTTCACGTCCTGTTCAGTATCCTGCAAAACAGAAAGGTTGATAAGGAAACATCTTCAGATGCTCCCTTTCAATTTCATTAATTTTTTGTCCATAAATGCTATATAGTGTTGTAATAAAAATCCTAAAATGATTTGAGTTACTATTGAGACTTGACTAAGTTATTGAATTTTAATATGTCTTTTTTCAAGAAGTCCTTGATTTTCGAACAACTCACATTTTCAAATGTTGACCTGAAACTTTGTCCATATAGAGAACTTAACTAGACTAGCTTTCGTAAAAAAAAAATTCACAAGTTTTGAACAAAGTCTCTTTCATACATGAATTCTTCCAAAAACTCATGTCATATGCACTCTCCATGGAAAAAGGTTCATATCTTGAATGTCTTATGTTTTGAAAAGACTTTGTTCAACACTTGTGGGTTTTTCTATGTAAGCTAGTATAGCAGAGTTTTTTATATGCACAAAGTTTTAGATCAAAATTCGAAAAGATGAGTTGTCTGAAAATTCGAGGTTCAGAAAAGATATCAATATTAAGAATTTAATAGCTTACGAGGGAACATTCCCAGGTGTTGGAGCGATTTTTAGTTGAGACTTTGCGCATCTTGCAGGCCTTGATGAATTATGTCTACCGTAAAAAAAAGTTCGTGCCCCTAGCTTGTTCCTAGTGAGATATCGAGGTTTTAGTGAATTTTTCCTATAAGACCCCATATTTGCAGCAAGGCCATATTTTTGAATTTTGATCTGAAACTTTCCCCATCTAAACATCTCAGCTAGACTAGTTTGCATAAAAAATTTCAGAACTTTTAGACAAAGTCTCTCCGAGATATGAAGCTTTCAACGTATAAGCCGTTTTTCATAGATAGCGTATAAGGCATGCATTTTTTGAAAGCTTCATATCTCG